AAGTTACTTTGTCTAAAGAAGGGAAGTTAGAAGTGGTTTTAATCATTTTCAATTATATAAGACATAAGCCAGTTGTATGTCTTCTCCATCAAGAACCAACGGGAAATTGGTTTAGGCTGTTGCTAGATTAATTTAGACATTAAAAAAACTGTTGATTACGGGATGGGAAACCAGAAGGCAAAATGTACCAAAAATGGGAAATGTGCTTACCTTTTGTACAGGGACTGCTCTTGTATCCTGATATCTGTTCTTCTCTTCCTATGTAGTAACAGAATCTCCTATTTTTCAGCTGGGCACAGGGCCCTCTGAAATACTTCCCCGTTAGGAGTATCCATGATACTAAGTTCGGGCCAAACCCATGTGAAGGGAAGGGTCTTTGAAGCGTCAGGGGGAAGTTCCTTCTTCCCCCCTTCTTCCTTCCTGCTGGCAGAAATGTGAATATGACAGCTTGAGCTCCAGCAGCTGTCTTGGGCCATGAGGTGGAAGCCACAGGTTGAGGATGTGGAGCAACAAGATAGAAGGAGCCTGGGTTCCAGATGATTGTGGAGCTGCCACACCAGCCCTGATTGCTTATCTCTGGACTTTGTTTATGTGAGAAAAATAAACTTTATCTTGTTTAAGCTACTGTAGTTTGGAGTTTTCTATCACTTGAAGCCCATCCTAATTTTAAGTGATATACTCTTAAAATCAGAAATTAACTAAGTTTATCCTAAGATGAATATACAAAGTGCTCCTTGTGGCACTAAATAGCAAAAATTGGAAACAATTTAATGATACAGAACCAATCAAACAAATTTGTATACCTTTACAGTGAAATACTACATAACTATTAAAAAGAATAATATAGATCTATATTTACTGGTCAGGAAAAATCCCATCAGGAAGAAAATGTAGCACAGTGTTATCAGGGGTTACCTCCAGATAGAAAGATTATGTTGATTTTTTGGGGAGTGGGTAGGGGGATTGCATATATTTTTACATCTTTCTGCAGTGAACATTGATTTCTTGTGGGGATTTTAAATTAACATTAAAAAAAAAACTGTATGTTGTTTTAATCAAAGGAATTTGTGGAATGTCCTTCCCCAAAGTTTTCACAGAATGTTATAGGTAACCAGCTGTTTTTGAACAATTTGGGGCAGCTCTCCTCCTACTCTGGAACTCAGGGATGAAGATATAATTTTATAACACAGTGGCGGTCAAAGGTAAAGGGAATGATATTCAAGACTTTCATGACATAAAATAATAGTTAGATGCTCATTTTATTAAGTAATAAATAATTGCAACTGATCATCCTGCCCACACGTGGCACATTTGAGAGTCAGTTCATATTTGGATCTTGTCAAATTCTGAGTATCAACTAAAATACCACCAATACCACCTAGGTTTGTATGAGTATACATGCGAGGATGGGGGGTATAGCAGGGGCATTGAGAGAAATACCAAGTTAACTAACTCATCTCTAAGTTGAGATTCCACTGTTAATGCCTTCAAAGAGCTCACAATCTAACAGGATAACTAAGATTTGTACATAATTAACCACGATTCAAGGCAGAAGGAAGTACCCATAGAGAAGCACCAGCAAAGAATGAAAAATGTGTAAAAAAAGAAAAGCATTTTTCATTATAGGGATTTTAAAAGTTTGAAAACTCTTAGAGGAGGTGGTCTGTGAAACAGCATAAGTCAGTATATCTCAAACTTGACCTTGGATTTTGTTTAAATGCAGATTCTGATTCAGTAGATCTGGGGCGGAGTCTGAGTTTCTGCATCTCTATCAAGCTCTCAGGTCATATTGCTGGTCCAGGGACCTGTTTTCCAGAAACAAGGGACTAAAGGCTATCCTAGGATGTGAAAAGTTGGAGTTGGAAGAGAGAGCTTTCCAAGCACAGAAATCAGTGTGAACAACAACACCAGGGTGACAGCGTGGGGTTCAGTTTTGGGGAAATAAGGAGAGTTTGGGAGATAAGGCTGGAGACATAAAATTTGGCCACACTGAAAGCAGGCCTTGAAGGTCAGGTTGGGGAGCTTTTATTTAATTAGAGGCAATGAGGGGCGACTCAAGGCTTTTGGGCAAAGGAAAAGATATAATCAGTAACTAAAATTCTCATCTAAATCCCTATAAATAAAACAAACAATAAATCAACAAATATTTGAAGTCAGTGAATTCGGAGTCCATCAGCAAATATGTCTTCAATTTTCACCTGTTGTTTATGAACACAAATTAAGTATAGGGCCTTGGAAGGGGCCGTGCAAATTAGGAAGCCCTGAAGGTTAAGTTTCGGTAGCCTCGGGGTAGAGCCATCTCTGTATCTGTTGTTCCATTAGTGAAGGATACAAAAGAGATATAAGGCATCTCAAGGAGTTTACAGTGTCATTTAGGAGCGAAAGCATACTTGCTGAAGAAACAAGTTTCAGGCAGGGTGTGAATCTTAAAGTGGATCTTGGAGGAACGAAGTCATTTTTGATGGAAGTTTCAGCACAAAGGAGTAGGGGTAAATCTGCTAAAGAGGAGACACTCCCCCTACCTGCTGTCCCCCTCCTCCCATCCCCACTGCAGTAGCAGGTTTGTTTCCTTAAGAAGGAACAGAATACATATTAGTCCAGGTTGGGAGCTTATGACCAGGAGCCACTAGAAGGCAGAAACCGTACTTGCCCTACAGTTAAGACTGCGCTTGGCAGAAAACAGGCGTGGATCAAACGTAACAAATGAATAAGCAAACGGGAGAAATAGGGGACATTGAAGAAATGGCAGAGGGATTTGAGTTTGATGTGGCTGGCAAGGCAAAGTCACCGTAGGTTCCTGAGATGGGAAAGGACAAGGTGGACCAGCAGCACTTCTACCTAAACTGAACTGCTAATCCTTCAGACCCCTGCAGTACTCATGTGACGGACACACTGCTGAACTCAGCAGCATGCGGCACGGGTGTCCACTCCTCATTCTTGAAGCACTCCGTTTCAGGCTTCTGTGGCTCCATACTCTCCTGGTTTTTTCCAGTTTACTCCGCTAGATACTTCTTTTCAATCTCCTTTGAGAACTTCTCCTCCTTTTCTCAATTTCTGAATGTCGATATTCCTCTAATGCAGGAAACTCTTAAATTTATATCTCCAGCCCAGAGTTTTTCCTCCAACCTCCAGATTTATAAATGCGACTGCCTCCTTGGCATCTCCACTTGGATGGCTCACAGACATATCAAACTTACACTCTGCAAAATTAAACTCTTAATTCTCCACTAGAAAAACTCCTCCCCACTTGCATATCTCAATAAATGGGATTAATATCCACCCACTTATTAAAGTCAGAAGCCTGGGAATCATCCCTATCTCTTTCCTTTCCTTCTGATCCTCCATATCCAATCTACCAGCGAATTCTTCTGTCCTCAAAATATATCTCAAACCTATCTCTCCAGGGCCACTGCACTAGTCCTGCAACAACATCCTAACAGATCTTACCTCTTCCACTCCGACCCGCCTCATTCGTTCTCCACATAAAAGCCAGAGCAATCTTTAAATGATGTAAATCAGCTCATATCACTCTCTGCTTAAAACTCCTTGATGATTTTCCACGGCACTTTGAGTAAAATCTAAACTTCTCACCATTCAGGATCTTTGTATCCATTAGGCACTTCTGGCCCACTGCCAAGGGGCTGAGACCTTGTCAAGGACCTATAAAAAATGTTTGAGACATGAAAAAAAGAACTGGCTCCAAAAAACTACAAAGTCAAAATTAATAAATGTTTCTGACTCCGTAATATAACAATATGTCAATCCTAAATTTCAACTCAACCTTCATGTAGTTATCGATATATTTTACTTTAATGAGGGATGTGGGTACATATTAATTTGTTAGATATAACATGGAGTTGGTTCCCAAAAGCTGGAGTATATAAGCCCTCCAGGGGTTCTAAAATGGCCCTCTTTTAGGGCCTAAAAGGTCCTGCATATTCCCATCTGTATCTACCTCTATCTCTCCATGCTCTCTGATGATGCCACTCTCCTACTTGCTCACTCAACTCAGCCAGCCAGGCTTGCAAATTCCTAGGACATACCAAAAACTCTTCTGCTGTTCCCTTTCCCCTCAGCCCTTCTCCTTCATTAGTTCTCAAATTAAATGTAACCTCCTCAAAAGGACCTTCCTAACCCACCAGTCCATCTGAAGGAGGCACACACGTCTCCCAATACCCTGCTATTTTCCTCCATAACACTGTTCTCCATCTGTAGTTATTTTGTTTGTTTATTCTATCTTTCCCATTAGACTAATAAACTCCATTAAGGCAGGAAACTTATGTGTCTTGTTCTCTGTTGTATCCTTAGGGCTTACTCCAGTGACTGGCCCAGAGCAGGCTTCAATAAATAGCTACTGCATGAATGAGAACTTCATCTTCAAGGCAGGAAGGCCAAGCTAGAAAGGTTTGTCTTGGACCCCATCTTGAGAAGCTGGAGGCACTCATCCTCCTTTGATTCTACGCACCAAGATAGGTTTAAAAAGGAATGTTTGGAGGTTTTTTCCAACAGAAGTTTTGATGAAAGCTCTCGTAACTTACCCTATCTGAGTAGAGGTGGGGGAATCAAAAATTGGCTGAAAACTAGGTTGAGGGGAAAGGAAGTGGTTTTGGAGCAGATGTGCGGCGCCTCAAGTTTGGGCTCTTCGTTGGCGCCCTCCCCTCCCCCCCCCGACTCTAACGGCTCCACCCCTTCCTCTCTTCAGCTAGGAGCAAAGAGTGGCTTTGGCCTCGGTTCAAGACGCCACGGACCTCACCTTGTTAATTATTCATGAGGTAGGCGGGCACTATGGGCACCTGATATTTTACTATTCATGAGAGGGCGGAGTCTCCCTCCCGCGCGAGCTCCTGAGAGGGTTCTAAAATATTCCCGAGGGAGGAGGTCACCATGGGAGCCGGAGCTTCTTGCTATTCATGAGGGGGGCGGGGCCTTCTTCCCGCTGGGGCTCCTGGGAGGATTCTAAAATATTCTTGAGGGCAAGGGGGCGCCTGGGAATCGGGAACGCCGCTCCGGAGCCGACGGGAGCTGCACCCTCCCTCTTCTCGGCGGGAAAGTCTTGAGGAGATATTTTCTTTTTGGAACATTAAGAAATTTGAGGATGGTGGGGCAAAACGACTAAACCCCATTTTCCTGTGATTCTTTAGGCGGAAAACTGTCCAAATCTGTGGTAAAAAGAGATTTTTTTCCCCCAGTTCTTGACATAGTTTTCGTCTTTTCATGGGCTGAAGGCGGCAAAAAATATACCACAATGTGGTTTGATTCTCATATTGGCTAATTTCTCTTTTACGGCCTCTGTAGTTTACCTCTTTGGAGGTGTTTTGGGCTAACACCCGAGCAGGTGGGGTGGATCTCTTTAAAGGGTTTTCTTGGGTTAAAACAAGATAGAAATCCCGGGGAACTGCTGTTGGACAGTTTTCTCTGAAAGGGGGAAAAAAGTTCATCCGAGAGGGCCCTCAAAGCCTTTCACACCTAGTCAGGAATGAGTGGGATGGAACAGGGGCATTGAAACGTCATTTTATTACTATTATTTTGGTTTGTGATTCTCATTCTCTAGAGGGGTGAGAGGAAACCGGAAATAATTTGGGATTACACCTTGAGGATCTTCAGAAAAGCCTGCTATCTCCCCCAAAATGTTCAAGTCTGAGTGAGGAAAATAAGGAATTGTAAGAGATTTCAGTTTTCAAAGAATCGGGGCCATTGTGTTTTAATCCTCTCAGAGGTTTAAAAATATATATACTCAGTGGTTGACACACTAAAGTGTCCCAGGTATGAGGTGACAGTGAAGAGCCCACAGACCCCACCCACGCCCACTTTACACATCCCTCAGAGAAACAGGACAAATCCTAGGCCAGATTTGTATTTTCTTATAGTGAAAATGCTTTAAAATGCCTACTATGAAAACTTAAGAACAACCTCATGGATTAAATTAAGATTCTTCCATTTGATGGTATTACATGCAGCCTTTAAAATATATATGCTTGCAGAAGTATATCTATTTGCAGGGAAAGAAATTGCAATTTTAATTACAATTAGAATTGAAAAAGCAGATTACAAAATAGTGTGAACAATGAGCCGCCTTTTTTGTTAAAAAGAAATGTTTGTATATATGTAAAATTCTGGAACGATATAAACGCAGATGTTTAAGAGTGAATTTCATTTTCCTCTTTTTGTTTTGCTATATTTTGTAAACTTTTTGACAATGCACTTATGTTACTTGTGTAATTTTAATGATTATTTTTAAAATATCTACTAATTTAAATGCTCAGTGAATGCTGAAGCAAAGTGCTATGGTATGGTCTTAAAGAAGGTTCACAGTACGCTTTTCACTAAGCACTAAATTTCTTGGCGATGTTTTCAAATATATAACTGATTTTAAATTGATAGAAATTGATATGTAACCTTTTAGATGAATAAGTAACAATGTGACATTAGCAATTTTGTGACAAAAGGAGAAAATGCACTTTGGTCAGATATATTTGTAACTCTGATGAAATGTCTAGTTGTTACTTCAGAAACTGGGAGCCTTAAATTGGAGTTGTAATTATGCTATGTACATGTATATATACAAAAGATAAAGTTTTCTGAATTGGAGCAATAGTGACACAAAGTCACTGTGTGCAATGAATGATTTTTTTTTAAGGAATTATTGTTTAGTATAAGTAAATTATCAGTGATTTTAATAAGGTCTCTCTAGGAAATGTTCATTTTGAAGTCAAATTGTGTAGGCCCTTCCTAAGACTTATCAGTAACTATTATGAACCAAAAGTAGAATTGAGGAAAAAATTATTATTCATTTATTTATTCTAGTCATTAATTTTGTAAGACTTTAATTTCATTGCTTATTTGTGTTTTATGCAGCACACAATTGGTAATAGTAATGCAACCTTCTTAATCTGTCAGAGCTAGTAAATTTTAAAAGCTCTAAACTTAAAGTCTATTTTTTATCTCTTTGTTTTTGTTGTTTCTAACAAAAGAACATGTCAGTACTGAGTTCTAAAGAAATAGGAAAACATTACTACAAATATTTAAAGCTACATTAATACTTTGATTTTTTTAGAATGTAAAGATTGTAAAAGCTACATACTAATTGACAGATATTGAATATATTGAATTATATTTTTGTGTGTTAAATCTTTTACTTTTTAAAATTTTGCACTTTTCTTTGCTTAGAATATATCTGAGCCAAATACATGTCTCATTTTCTACTAAAACTCTGATTAATCTATCTAGAATATTTGGCTAAGAGGGAAAAGATTTTTAAATATTTCATTTCATGCTGAGATGAATAGACTCCTGGTGGGAGCTCCATAAACTGGACATCATATTAAAAGTTTTGTAAATATAGAGAGACAGGTATTGCCCATCAAAATATCAACCTCTTCATTTAAAAAACAACAGCTCTTCATTGCTATAATTTCCTTTCTTTTTTGTCTCTTGCCTTTTGTTTTTCTAACCAGGATAAATTCGTGAGATAAGAAAAAGGATGGCATCTAGAATAAATACCAGTTTCACTTTGATTCCCAACCAGAAATATAGACGTAGTAATCGTCGATCCAGCTATTTTTCCAACACCTGTGACTCAGATTCTCAGCCCTTGTCAACGCTTGGAAATTTTAAAACCTTGCCATTGGAAATATTCCAAATAATCTTAAAATATTTGTCAGGTGAGATTTGGGGACTATGAGTAGGCTACATAGACGCTGGAATATTTTTATTTTTCCCAAGACCTAGTTTGTCATCTTAGGCCCTGGTAGAATGTTAATGGTGTTCACGTTGTTTATTTTCTAAAGTTTCATCATTGTTAGGTAAGGGGTGCCATGAGAAAGTACGATACTCAAACTCTTCAAAGCATGCCTTTAATTATAACGACATGGTAACTTGACTGTTACATCCCAAAATGTCTAATTCACTGAGCACTGGATTTAAAACAATTTTAAGATTTTCACCACTTTTATTATTTATTTTTATTATTTAGTGTTATTACTAACGAGCTAACTTATAAGTTAATAGATTGTACTAACAGTGATATTCTTGTATTTAAGCCGTTCATATATATGTATATATATTTCTTTTGGTAGCGAAGGATATCAGCGTGCTAAGCATGGTGTCCAAAACAGTCGGCCAGCGTATTATTAATTATATTTCAACCTCATCAGGAAGCAAAAGACTTTTACTACAGGACTTTCACAACCTTGAGCTGCCTGGCAGGAGACAAGACTCCACTATATTGGAACACTACAGATCTCTAGGTAATTTATAATGAGTTGTAACAAGTACAGAACTATATTTAGTTAAGGGGATTTTATTAAACAATTCTGTAAGGCCCATGAGAAACGGAATATTTCCTAAAATGTGCCTATTTCAATGATGCTTTTACTTTTCAGTATGAGGACTTTCCCTTAACAACAGTCCCTTACACTTACCTTTAAAGATGAGAGAATACACTTTTAACGTAAAGTGTCAGTTCTTGTGTTTTCACGTGTATATGTCGCCTATGCTTATTGTCTAGGTGGCTTGGCTTACTAGTTTAGGAAATTGATGTATTTTCTATATTTTATTTCCTGTGGATCTAATGAGTTTTATCTCTATACCTCTTTTCCCTTTCAACCATAATCTAGTCCTTAAAATAAAAAAGAAATTTAAACATTATTGTGGAAGATCACTTATTCTTTTATCAGAAACAATGGTTTTCTTTTTTTTTCCTTAAAGCACTCTACACACTTGCTAATAAATCATTACGCTATGATTAAATTAAACTTCTCAAAGGAAATTCTGTATAATCTTTCTTCCCTTGATTTGTAATCATTTATGTCTTTTACCCCATTCATTGATTTCATTCTCCCTAAGAGTGCTGAAATAAAACTCTAATTTTGACTTGACTAATGACACCAATTTAATTGTGAAACACCTTATAGTTAACTAAGCATGGCATTAAAATCAAATATCAAAGTGATGTTAAGATTTAAATAAAGGCATAATAGTAAGTTAATTGAGTATTACCTTTTAGTAGCTCAAGGATGCCTAGCTTTAAGATAATAAGACTATATAGATGTGTAAATACTCAAAGTGCAAGTATGTTTAATAAGATTAAATGAAAGGTATGTAATCTTATTACAATGTTGTTGGTTTCAGTATTTATGATTAGGCTTCATAAAGCCTATAACAGAATATGGCAATTACTTTTTGCTACATGTCATTGTAAATATCTTTTTTCAAACATCATTAGTTGTAGAGCAAGTGGTACTTGGGTAAAAGAGCTTATTCTTTGGTTTTGATCTGAAAGAATTTTTTCTCCCTGACCAAGGCTCAGTTGCTTAAACAGACAAAAAAAGCATTAAGACAATTATATGGATAGTTCAGTTAAAAAATACAAATATGTGTTGATCTTAATAGCTAGCTTTTTAAAATGGTTTTATTCATGTAATGATTTCAACCTTCCATTTAATTTTAATGCAGACAGCTGGCTTATGACTGATTCTTTAGGTAAATGTTTGATATACTTACCATTTTTTTATGTTGCCATTCCTATCTGATCTGTTCTTGTTTTCAGACATTAAAATAACATTTTCAGAATCCTGCACTCTGAAGATTATAAATTTTAATTTGCTTCTTCATACAAAACAGAGCAGATGGCCAGTGTGGAAAGCACATTATATCTGACTCTATTTTAGTGGGAACAAATTAAAGAAGTTGGTCTCTAAAGGGTATAGCAGAGCACCTGTGTTAAAAAAATAAATGTCAGCCAGTATTGGTTTTTATGGTAAATTGCAACCCTTAAAAATAGGAGTTTTACTTTAGAAAAGGCAACCAACATACAATTATAGCTTACAATTCCCCAGCTATGATATGCCATGGGACTGGATGCCAAAACATGAAAGGAAAAGAACTCAGCCTAAAAACCAAACACTGAAAATGTCTTTTTATGTACAAAAATAAGGAAGGTTTATGTTTAAAACTCAATTCTGGTCATGTGTTACCCAAACATAGCAACTTCTAAAAATAAATTAGATTCGCATAGATTCTACAGAATTATATCAAGTAGTTATTATATTATGTTAAAAAGTAAATGCAGAGAATATAAAAACTAAAGAAAGTCATGATATTCAGGTATATATTTTCCTACCATATATCTTATTTTTAGTTTGATGACATTTGCCCTTACAGGAATGTTAACAGTGTTTTGCCATTTTAGGAAAACAGAACACTTAGAGGAAACAAACCATATACTTCCTGTCACTGTAGTTCAAGTTACGTATCTCAGTGGGAAACTGAAGGGTGTTTTTTTTTTCCTTTCTTAAATATTTGAACACAAAATTCTATACATTCTTAACATGCAAACTCCATAAAAGGATATATTTGAAAGAAGAAATGGATATTTCATCCAAACTGGATATTTTCTGTGAGCAAAAATGATTTCTAACCTCTGAATTTTAAGTACTTATGACTTTAAATTTTTTTATTTGGAGAAAGGAATACAAAATCTCTTTTCCTATTCTTTTCATGCAATTCAAAATATTTTCCTTCGTGGACATGAGGTTAATTTCAAGAGATATTGGAATATGTTTTCTATGGAATAAAGACAACATAAAGTTTCCCTAGTGTATTTTGTGTCTTGTTAGTATGTCTTTTTAAATCTAAATACTTTCCATATCTGTCCTATTGTATCAATTTCACAATTTTTTGAAAGATTTTATGTTAATGCCTTTTAGGTGGACATCAGAGTCACTTGGTAAACACCATAATTATAAGTGTTTTGCACCTTTCCTCCCAAATTTCCTCTTAAAAATCATATTGGTTCACAGTCCGCTATGGTATACCATACTTGACCTTCAGGAAACATGTGCTGTGTTTTATAGATGTTCTTAAATTAATTGCATTGTGGTTGTCATGTTTTCATGTGTCTCTTACTTTCTCAGGTCTACTATTTAAAAGATGTACTTTGCTGCTACCCACAAAGGAAAGACTAAAGTACATTCACAAGATGCTCGCAGAAGTAAGATCATACTTCTGAATTAGTTCACAATCTTGATTTCCAGTAAAGATATTTTATTATTAATGTCTTATACTCATTTAAAATCTGTCTTTAATTGGTAGAACTTCATGAAGTAGTACTAAAAAATTGATGATAATCTAATGCTTTACCAAGTACTTAAAGATTATAAAACACCAAAATGTAGTATAGTAGTCTTTTACTTATTCTAACACAATTTTTATATATAACTAAGTACATCACTTAAGTTTATTAGGTTTATCAGGGTATAAAAATATTTTTGCCCTGCATGGGAATCCTGAGGATGTTTTAAAGTGGTGATTTAGATATTTTATTAAAATGAAATAATTTCGGGGCCAGCCCGTAGCATAGTGGTTAAGTTCAGCGTGCTCTGCTTCAGCAGCCTGGGTTCTCGGGTTCAGATCCTGGGCGCAGACCTACATCATTCATCAGCCATGCTGTGGGGCAACCCACAATAAAGTAGAGGAAGATTGGCACAGCTGTTAGCTTAGGGCTAATCTTCTTCAAGCAAAAAAAGAGGAAGACTGGCAACAAATGTTAGCTCAGCACTAATCTTCCTCAGCAAAAATAATAATAATAATAATAATTTCAGGGCCGGCCCCGTGGCTTGGTGGTTAAGTGCACGCGCTCCGATGCTGGCGGCCCGGGTTCAGATCCCAGGTGCGCACCGAGGCACCACTTCTCCGTTCATCCTGGGGCCGAGTCCCACATACAGCAACTGGAAGGATGTGCAGCTATGACATACAACTATCTACTGGGGCTTTGGGGGGAAAAAATAAATAAATAAAATCTTTAAAAAATAATAATAATAATAATTTCAGATGTTAAAATCATACTGTTTAAATACACAAAAACATAGGAAAGTATTTTTAATGTATAAAATGACAAACCTTTTATGATAATTAATGACTTGGAAATGTGTGTCAATGTGTTTGGGCATAATCTCTACATAAGACATTGAGTTTTACTTTACAAACCCAAACATACATACAATGCTGACGACTCAGTTCTACACTCAATAGTGTGCAAACTGTTTCTGATGCACTGGCTTTTTTCACGTCAGTATTTGCATTGAGTTCAGGCCTCTATTATTGCAGCAGCTTCCCAGATTATCTTTCTGCCATCCATTTCTTCACTGCCCCAGACATTCTGTATGCTGAATCAAGCTTATTTTTCCAAAAGCATCACTTTCATCAAATTAATTTTCTTGCTTAAAAATCTTTCAGCAGCTACCCAGTTTCAGCAAGATAAGATCCAAAGTCCATAGCTGGTATTTAGGGTTCTCTCTGACAATGCAACCTCACTTCCTACTACTTTGAGCCTAATTAAGCTGGTTATATCTTTCTTCCCAAATAAACCTTTTTAATTCCTACCTCTATACAATTTTGTGCTTGTTGTTTCCCTCACCAATATTTTCCATTTGTTATATCTGAATCCTACTTTGAGATATTGCTTGTTTCACATCCTTCATAAGCTTTTTTGATCATTCCCAAATTTATCTTTTCTCTGTTTTCATACTGTCTGATATAGTGCTTATTCGGTCATTTTAGCATTTATACATATTCTAACCTGAACTATCAAAATAATTTCATATGTGTAGATCTTATTCTCTTGAATAAATTGTGAGCTCCTTGAAGGCAGAGGCTATGTTTTATATTTCTTTTGTAATGCCCACCTATATAACACAGTGCTAATCAGTTATTTAGTATATTAGTTATTTTCAGTTAATACTGAAAAAATTCTTGCATATTTCTATTAAATTTGAATGTCAAATCATTGTACAGTTCCACTGAAAAGGAGGAATTAATAGTTGTTCTATTTACAGGTTTCCTGTTTTAAATTCAATGGCTGTGCAGCTCCTATGCAATGTTTAGGATTACCATGTTATGGCATGTTTTTACAGGTACATTTTTTTTCATAAAAGAAGAAAAGGAGTGTTTTTGAACTGTTAACAAGTAGAGCATGTAATCTGTCTTTCCATAGGTTAATACAAGTAATAATAGTCTAAAAAGAGAACAATATAAAATTGTAAAAATTTGAGAATGTATTAATCTAATAATGTGTTTGCCACCTCAGATTTTCTTCCTGGATTTCTCATTGGTAAGAAATGTTTAATATTTATTTGCTCTATACCAATGTCCTCAAAGTTTCCAGCCAGTTGTAAAAACTGGAAATATTGTGGGGTGGTGTGTGTGTGTGTAATGAGTTTTAAATCTTGGGCTAGTTATTTAAGATGTGATTTTAGAAATCAACTGTATGAAAAAATACTTGTAACTATGGGAGGTGATAGATGTAACTAACCTTATTGTGGTAATCATTTTGCAATATATACATATATAAAATCACAGTGTTGTATACCTTTAACTTAGACAATGTTATATGTCAATTATATCTCAATAAAGCTGGAAAAAAAAGAAAAATCAATTATATGATTTTAGGAACATTTTTGACTAATCTTTTATTGTAAACAAATAAGATAATAATAACATAATTTATATTATTCAATATTAGTAATATATTATTAATACATTACACTATTCTAAGAAGTTTACATTATTATACAGTATTATATTACATTAATATACAGTATTAACTTATTTAAAACTTACAGCAACCTTATGAGGTTTACAACAACTTTACAACCATCTTTTGTATATCTCAGCCTGCCAGCGACCATCTGTACACCCAGATTCCAGGGGTATAGGCCCTTCTACCAGCCCTTTTCCAAGATACATTTTTGCTTTTTGTTTCTTTGTTTGTTTAGAACAGGTAATATGAGCACATATATTCATGTAAAATTCAAAAGGTACAAAATGGTGAAAAGTAAATCTCCCTCCCAGGCCTGTTCCTTGTCCACTGAGTTCCCTTCAACAGAAGTAACCAATGTTAGCAGTTTCCTGTATGTCCTTCCACAGAAAATAAGATTAATTTTTAAACTACTGAAATCCAGTTCAACTATTTTAAGAAAACTTTATGTGACTAATCAACCTTTTCAAAATCTAATTATAGTGATAATACCATTTGAATTTCCTTTTCATATATGTTTAACTGTAAATTCTGGTTTGCTCAAAGATAATTATTAAATGTTGTCCTAATAAAAATTTTTTGCTTGTTCACATCCAAATGTTATAAATAAATGCTCATAACTGTCACAGTAAAATGAGATCATTATTATTTGTAAGCAATGTCATAAATGATAGCTGGAGGGAATTAAAGGGATTCTACTGTAGTCTAAAACTAAGCCAAAGTAAGGTTGTGAGTCAGATGTCTAAAGCTGTGTTCCAGGGTTTGGGCCTTTGTTATTTTCCTCACACTAACAGAGTTCAGGATTCAGAACCATTTAAAAGTTCTCTGAGGGCCGGCCCTGTGGCTTGGCGGTTAAGTGCGCGTGCTCCGCTACTGGCGGCCGGGGTTCAGATCCCCGACGCACCACTTCACTGGCCATGCTGAGGCCGCGTCCCACATACAGCAACTAGAAGGCTGTGCAGCTATGACATACAACTATCTACTGGGGCTTTGGGGGAAAAAAATAAATAAAAGGAAAAAAAAAAATTAAAAAAAAAAAAGTTCTCTGAAAAGATACTCCTTTTACAACCAAAAAGAAACTGGATTTTGAAGCATTTCTAGATTTTGTTTATGTAAAATTTCTTATTAATTTCAGCAGTTCTATATAGGATAAAAATTGCACATCACCTCAATCATGTGCTGCAACAGTTATGCTCATAAGGCAGTAGTGACTTACGTTTTGATTCAATGGTCTGAACATCTGCAATGTTTCCTTTATTTTATTATGTTTAGACCTTAACAGCAGGTTGGGATGAACTCGAGTGTCATCGTGTTTACAACTTCTTATGTGAGCTGACTAATCTCTCTCGCAAGATGCAGACTGTTGTCTGCAGCAAACCAGGTAAAGAACTACAATTCAGAAATAACATCATACAGAGATTAAAATAGAAAAAGAAAAAGCAGAGTTCAAAAGTGTATTTAAAAATAGCTTGTGGCATCCATTTGTAGTAAAAGGACAAAGAAATGTAAGGGAATGATAAAGATTGAATTGGGGCTGGCCCCGTGGCTTAGCGGTTGGGTGCGCGGGCTCCACTGCTGGCGGCCCGGGTTCGGATCCCAGGCGCGCACCGACGCACTGCTTCTCCGGCCGTGCTGAGGCCGTGTCCCACATACAGCAACTAGAAGGATGTGCAACTATGACATACAACTATCTACTGGGGCTTTGGGGGAAAAATAAATTAAAAAAAAAAATTAAAAAAAAAAAAGATTGAATTGGATAGTGAGACAAAAGTGGCATGTGATTAGAGAAAGAGACGTACTCAGAGGGCTTCAACCGTATTCGTAATGTTTTATTCCTTAAGCTGGGTGGAGGATACAAAGGTGTTCATTACAGTATTCTTTATTTTTTTTATTTATTTTTTTGAGGAAGATTGGCCCTGTGCTAACATCTGTTGCCAATCCTCTTTTTTGCTGAGGAAGATTGGCCCTGGGCTAACATCCATGCCCATCTTCCTCTACTTTATATGAGACGCTGCCACAGCATGGCTTGATAAGCGGTCCGCTGGTCCATGCCCAGAATCCGAACCCTCAAACCCCAGGCCACTGAAGCGGAGCGCAAGAACTTGACTGATACACCACTGGGCCAGCCCTACAGTATTCTTTAAACCTTTATATATACCTGAAATATTTCATATTTTTAAAATTATGGAACCCTATAATCTATCGATTTTACTCTGAGACACTCCCACAGTGTGCACAAGGAGACGTGTTACTGTAAGAATGAGCATTGCAGCATGTAACCATGACAAGCTGCAAACAACCTAATGCCTATTGTCAGAAGAACAGATAAATGAGTTGTGGCATATTCATACAATTAAAACCATTAGTAGTTAAAATGAATGAACTAGAGCCATGTGTATTAATAGGGATAAATCTCAATCTATAACTTGAGAAAAAAGGTTACCAAATGATAGTTTCAATATGATACCATTTAGGGGCCGGCCCGGTGGCGCAAGCAGTTAAGTGCGCGGGCTCCGCTGCGGCGGCCTGGGGTTTGCTAGTTCGGATCCCGGGCATGCACCGACGCACTGCTTGGCAAGCCATGCTGTGGCGGCATCCCATATAAAGTGGAGGAAGATGGGCACGGATGTTAGCCCAGGGCCACTCTTCCTCAGCAAAAAGAGGAGGATTGGCAGATGTTAGCACAGGGCTGATCTCCCTCACACACACACACACAAAAATGATACCATTTATATACATGTTAAAAACATGCAAAATAATTCAATATGTTCTTTATGGTTACATACATATGTAAAAAGGTATAAGAACATAGTTGGGAGATGTGACAGTTAATTTTGTGTGTCAACTTGAGTAGGCCATGGTACCCAGGCACTTGGTCAAACATTATCCTAGATGTTTCTCTGAAGTTATGTTTTAGATGAGAGTAACATTTAAATCAGTAGACTTTGAGTAAAGCAGATTTACCCTCAGTAATGTGGGTGGGCCTCATCCAATCACTTGAAGGCCTTAATAGAAAAAGGCTGACCTTCCCAAGCAAGAAAGAATTCTGCCAGCAGACTGCCTTTGGACTCAAGCTACAACTCGTCCCTAGTCTCCAGCCTGTTGCCTACCCTGCAGATTTTGGACTTGCCAAGCCTGCACAATTGTGGAGGAATCACAAATTCCTCAAAATAAATCCTTCTTTATGCATATACTCTATACACATCCTATTAGTTCTGTTTCTCTAGAGAACCTGACTAATACAGGAGGGACAAAACCCAATTCAAGATGGTGATTACTTCTGGGGAGGAAGGGGAAGAGGATTGGGAGTGAGATATAAGAAGCTTTAACTGTATCTGTAATGTTTTATTTATTTATTTATTTATTTATTTATTTATTTATTTATTTATTTGTCTATCTTTTGAGAGGAAGATCAGCCCTGAGCTAACATCCAATGCCAATCCTCCTCTTTTTGCTGAGGAAGACTGGCCCTGGGCTAACATCCAGGCCCATCTTCCTCTACTTTATATGGGATGCTCCCACAGCATGGCCTGACAAGCAGTACGTCGGTCCGCACCCAGGATCCGAACCTGCGAACCCCAGGCCGCCAAAGCGGAGCACGTGCACTTAACCACTGTGCCACCGGGCAGCCAGTGTTTTATTTATTTTTGAAAAATCTGAAGCATTGGGCCGGCCCCGTGGCTTAGCGGTTAACTGCGCGCGCTCCGCTGCTGGCGGCCCGGGTTCGGATCCCGGGCGCGCACCGATGCACCATTCCTCCGGCCATGGTGAGGCCGTGTCCCACATACATCAACTAGAAGGATGTGCAGCTATGACATACAACTATCTACTGGGGCTTTGGGGGAAAAAAAATAAATAAATAAAAATTAAAAAAAAAAATCTGAAGCATATATAGCAAAAAGTAAAGCTTTGACAAAGCTAGGTCATTAGTACACAGTATTTGTTATGGTATCTTTGCTTTTCTGTCATCTTGCAATATTTCATCATAAAACAAATGATAGATGAAAAAGGCAGTTTTAGAAGCCCAATGAAACAATAACAGAATTAATTTATCATGTCCTTCCTTGATCAAAAACTTTTATTAGCTCCCTGATATCTTCAAAATAAAGTTCAAACTATCTATACTGGCCTTAACATTCTAATCCCAACTTACTTTTTCAAACTTATTGTCCATTACTCTCTATATCAGTCTGATATAGTGTAGGCATATTGCTCTACTCACTGTGTCTCAGACATCTCTTATACATTTCTACCTCATACCTTTTTTCTGACATACCATCTCTCCTCATCATTTAGGATCCAATTTGCCTGGCCTTCACTGTAAAGCCTTTTCTGGTCTCTCCAGGCCTGCAGTAATCTCTCTCCTGTAAACTTCTGTGTTACTTGGTTTAACACGTCAGGGGGTACTTACATATGGCCTTAGATCATTGGTAGACTTTCCATTTACATTTGTCTTATCTATGAATAAGTAGAACATAAATTATATAAAAATGTAAAATAGTGCCACCATTATGGAAAACAGTTTGGCCATTCCTCAAAAAGTTAAACATAGAATTATCATATGACCCAGCAATCCTACTCTTAGGTATATACCTAAGGGAATTGAGGACAGGGACTCGGACAGATACTTGAATGCCAGTGTCCATTGCAGCATTATTCTCAATAGCCAAAAAGTGGAAACAACCCAAGTGTTCATCAGCAGATAAACAGATAAACCAAAATGTGGTATATACACACAATGGAATATTATTTAGCCTTAAAAAGGAGTGAAGTTTTGGAGCCAGCCCTGTGGCCTAGTGGTTAAAGTTCCACACGCTCTGCCTTGGCAGCCCAGGTTCATGGGTTTGGATCCCAGGCACAGACCCACACCACTTGTCAGCCATGCTGTGGGAGCGACCCACATATGAAAAAAAATAGAGGAAGATTGGCACAGATGTTAGCTCAAGGCTAATCTTCCTCAAGCGAAAAAAAAAAGAGGAGGATTGGCAGCAGGTGTTAGCTCAGGGCAAATCTTCCTTAGCAAAAAAAAAAAAGGAGTGAAGTTTTGATACACGCTACAACATGCATGAACTTTGAAAACATTATGCTGAGTGAAATAAGTCAGACGTAAAAGGACAAATATTGTATGATTCCACTTATATGAGATACCTAGAACAGACAAATTCATAAAAACAGAAAGTAGATTAGAGATTACCAGGAACTGGGGGCAAGGGGGAGTTATTGTTTAATGGTTACAGAGTTTCTGTTTGAGGTGATGAAAGGTTTTGTAAATAGACAATGGTGATGGTTGAACAACATTGTGAATGTAATTTATGCCACTGAATTTTACACCTTAAAAATGGTTAAAATAGCAAATTTTATGTTATATACATTTTACCACAACTTAAAAAAATGAATAATGTAACGTATTTTAACATATTGAATTATATACTTTAAATGGGTAAATTGTATGGTATGTAAGTTATATATATTTCAATAAAGCTGTTAAAAAAAAAAAACACGAGATACCACTTCATACTCACTAGGATGGCTAGAATCAAAAAGTCAGATAACAGCAAGTGTTGGTGAGAATGTGGAGAAATTGGAACCCTCATACATTGCTGGCAGGAATCTAACATGGTGCAGCCACTTTGGAAAACAGTCTGGCAGGTCCTAAAATGATTAAATATAGACTTACCATGTGACCCAGCAATTCCACTCCTAGGTATATCCCCAAGAGAAATGAAAACATATATCCACACAGAAACTTGTACATGAATGTTAATAGCAGCATTATTCACAATAGTGAATGTGGAAACGTTCAATGTGGAAACAACCCAAATGTCTATCAATGGGTGAATGGATGAAAAAAATGTGGTATACCTATACAATGGAATATTATTTGGCCATAAAAATGAATGAAGTACTGATACATGCCATAACATGGATCAACCTTGGAAACATTATGCTAAGTGAAAGAAGCCAGTCACAGAAGACCACATACTATATGATTTCATTCAATATGAAAGTCCAGAATAAGGAAATATGTAGAGACAGAAAGTAGATTATGGGGCCAGCCCCGTGGCCTAGTGGTTAAGTTCAGCGTGCTCCACTTCAGTGGCCTGGGTTCGGTTCCTGGTGTGGACCTACACCACTCATTGGCAGCCATGCTGTGGTGGCAACCCACATACAAAAATAGAGGAAGATTGGCACAGATGTTAGCTCAGGGCGAATCTTCCTCAAGCAAAAAAGAGGAAGATTAGCAACAGATGTTAGCTCAGGGCAATCTTCCTCAGCAAAAAAAAGAAAGTAGATTATTGGTTGCTTAGGGCTGGAGATGGTAAAGGACAGAGAGATAGGAGAGTAATAGCTAAAAGAGCTGGGTTCCTTTTTGAGGTGATCAAAATGTTCTAAAATTGACTTGGTGATGGCTGCACATGTCTCTGAATACACTAAAAACCATTGAACTGTACACTTTAAATGGGTAAATTGTATGGTATGTAAATTATATCTCAATAGAGCTGTTTAAAAAAAATAGTCCCTTGATAATCTAAAATTTTTACAGAGGAAAATGAAGTAACGTGTCTTTGACCTATCCAATATACTCATCAACCTTTCTGGAAAGAATGGTTTACAATTCTTTTATCTTCAAAGGAGGTGCCCGAAAACTGGAGTTAAGGATCAGACTGTTCTGTAGGAACGTTCTGCTTGATCATTGGACACATCGAAGTGATTCTGCTTTTTGGTTGACGCGTATATTAAAACCATGGCCAATGGTGAATCAGGCAAGATTACTGTATATCATCTTTGGACCAATATCTCCTCAAGATGGTGAGCATCCATTTTTTAGGGGCATATGTTATAAAACTGGTTAATTACTTTTACTTTAGGAAGCATATCTTTTTGTACCTGCTCAGTTTCATCATTCCTAATGACTAAACTGTATTTCATGACTTCATAGATGTATACTACATTAAGTTGTGTATAATTTAAACTTCAACACAGAAATTGTTCTGCAAGCCATTACCAAATATATTCCCATCATCTCTGATTTAATAAAATAGCTGCTTTTCATTTTTAAACATTATCTTAAATTTAAACATTTAAGATTAAACATTAACTCAAGATTATGTTTGCTGCTAGAGGAGACTAATAGTGCCAGTGAAGCAAAGTAGTAGTTGGAATTGATGTTTTACTTAATTTGGGGTGCATAATATGATTTTTTGCAGTTTTTTCCTTTCTAATTAAGGTTTGTTTAGATTAATGTTAAAATTAGCATGCAGTTCTTTAGTTCACATTGCCTTATGTCAGGAGGTAACTAGTTTACAGTATGTTGACTAGCAGCAGGAAGCCAATCTGGGATTAAATTTTGTTGTGTGTAATTCACAAAGAGAATTGGTCATAGCTAAATAATCAAAAATTGACTGGATTACTCTGTTTTGATATAAATGTTTGGAAGATTCTCAAATATAGCATGCTCTCTTTTTGGAAGGATATCAGATTTTATTTTATTTTGATAAGATTATGTCAATTGTTTATTCCAATTTCTGTTATAGGGGTAGCATTATCTTTGAACTAGAAGCACTGTTCTGCTTGGTGAAAATACCCTTTCTTTACTTCATTTAGCTATTGTTGTTGTGCTTCATGACATCAGTCAGAAACATTCAAATTTATACTATAATCAGAATTGACCTTTCATTATGAAAGTTAAAATGACAGTAGCATATATAAGTAATGGATTCCATTATGCAATCCAGTTTCCTTTTTAAACAATCCATGAAGTCTTTATCACAAAGCCAACTATTCTGTCATAGCCTAGTTTTTGTTTCAATTATCATTCAGGACAGGTAATTTGGCAGAAAATGATAGAAGACCCTACAGATGATTCCAGTCTGAAAGGTTTGGCAGATGCCATTAAACTACTATATGACACAGGCACCAAAGAGTGGACAGCAGATGATGTTATCAGTCTTGTAGATGAACTATCAGGTAAAAAAATATATTTACCACATACAGTAATAGAAATTTGTTATTAGAATACAGTTATAAAATTATAAGACTAATTCTTTAGCTAACAAATAACTCGCCTATTGGAAATCACTAAATGCTCTAAAATATTTAAAGAGTTTGGCATTATGTTTGAAGAGAATGCATATAATCAACTTACTTTTCTTCTATAAAATTGCAAATTTTATAGATATATACTTATTTCTATCATTATTTGAAAGCTTCATAATTTAATTAGCTCAGTTATTCCCATTTTGCAAGTTCTTAGAAACACCCTCCTAGGTTGTGTAAGAAAGCCCTCTCCTGCAGGTACAAGAGAGGTGAAACAATTTTTTCCATTCTTGCATAATCTTTTATTTTATTTTATTTTATTTTAAAGATTTATTTATTTATTTTCGCCCCAAAGCCCCAGTAGATAGTTGTATGTCATAGCTGCACATCCTTCTAGTTGCTGTATGTGGGACGCGGCCTCAGCATGGCCGGAGAAGCGGTGCGTCGGTGTGCGCCCGGGATCCAAATCCGGGCCACCACCATCAGAGAGCACGCACTTAACCGCTAAGCCACAGGGCCGGCCCTTGCATAATCTTTTAGATTCTAAAGTTTACAAGATTTCTTTCCTTTCACAGGATTAGGCCACCTTGCCTGTTGATCTATATGTAGGACAAATGCTCTGACTATATTACTAGTACATTTGTAAGAGCTGCCATGACATGGCAATAATCTCTGTCTCCAGTTGAATCCTTTAACTGAAAAACTAAAGCGTTTTTTTCTGAGCTTTTCCCTTGACACCAATTGTATTTCTAACAAAGCGGTATAATATTGCATGTATTTAATAATGTTTACTATAGCTGTTCTGTAATTTCTCACTAAATAACTGTTCTTCCTGTAATAAAAGTGGTTCCCCGTGAATGGCTTCTAGAGAATAACGCACGTCTCCTAATCCTAAGTGGGAACAACATCTGTTTTACTTTCATGGCTAGTAAAGCTGTGAATGGACGGGCCATTGAACTGGCAAGGCTGATGGTCTTTTTGGCTTTGGTAAGTGAAAAAATAAGTTTTTCTCTAGCAAGTTGTTTAACACCATTATTGACCTACCAGGGAGCTGCCCTGAAGGAACTGAAATACATACAAAACATTGTGAAAGAATAAGTGAAAGCATATATTTTTATATATACTTGTAAAATTTTAAAATATATGTAATAAACTATGATATTTGGAATCATTCCCATATTAACCTCTCCCCATTTCATATCTAGATTGTCATTATACAGCTCTGCCAATTTATGTTCTTTTTTTCAAATTCCATTAACAAAATAAAGTATCCCATTTGATTTGCTTCAGAATAATCAATGGGCAGCAGGGAGAGGATGTGGAAATGAAGGCTGGTAGAGGTGAAACAAGAGTGGTAATTGTTGAAGCTGGAAAATGGTTCTGGGGGGTTCATTATACTATTCTGTCCACTTTTGTATAGTTAAAATGTTTTTCAAAATAAAACATTTAAAATATATATTTAATATTCATTTAGTCAATACAAATTGAGTTTTTACTATGGGCCATACACTGTGTGAGATTCTAGGCCTATGAAAATTAATAGAACAAATCTCTGACCAAAATCTGCTTTCAGTCTTTTAAGAGATATCAAGGTATATATAAATAAATTCAGTGTAATAAGTGCAAAACTATATGTACAAAATGTTACTAACAGAGGTAACAGAAGAGGAGCCAATATTGGGTAAGTATAGAGCACAGAGACGGCTTCCCAAATCCCAGTAGATATAGGCTTTGAAAAATGAATAGGAGGAGTTCACCTCGCAGATAGAGGGGGCAAATTATTCAAGCATGTACCTGCATGTGTTACACAGAAATCTCATTTATTTGGCTACCATCACAGATGCCAGCTCAACCAGTGCTTTAAAAGCAATGGAATATTCTTCCAGTTGGCTGTTGTGAGTAATTGAATGTAATCCATTTCCTGTGAAATGGAGACAGGATCTTCACCAACTCAACTGCTTAAAACGTGAATGAAACCTCTGTGGCTCTCTTTAAAATGTGAAGAAAGCTACTAAATTAACTGTATTCTCAATGTAAATATTTATTTTAATAATTAAGCAGATTCATATCAAAAAAAAGAGAGAGAGAAGTGGAACTGCATGTCTATGTTCAGGGGACTGTAAACAGTTCAGTATTATTTCTGAAGGATAAAGTGTGCAGAAGAGGAGGAGGAGGTGAGTTTAGATAGGAAGGGAGAGGCTAGGTGAGGAGGGGCCTTGTCAACCGTTCTGTGGAGCTTGAACACATCCTCTAATAGGGAGCTGCTGAAAAGTTTTAGGAAGGGGAAAGACATGAGTTTTATGTTTTTGGAAGGTCGCTTTGGCAGTGCTATAGCAAGTGGAATGGAGAGGAAGTCACTAGGGGTGGAAAAGGCTTCTCAAGACAGCCTTCTCTGATTAACATCTCAACTATGATCATTCATTTTCCCTAAATTGCCTCAGATTTGTCTTGTCTTTATCGTCATTTACTGATAGTGTTCTTAAGCCATTGTATGTGTGGGGAAAGTCATTTCCCAAAATAGATTACAAGTTCTTTGAAATCCAGGACTATGTCACTTACTTCTTTCTTAGTGCCTCATACAGTGCTTTACACAGTAAGTAGTCAATAAATCTTTCTTATCAGATTAACATTATTTAGTTACACTGCTATATAGTTTATTTTCATGCTGTACATTATTTGGCTATGTGAGTTAAATTGACCCTTTAGAATGTTAGTGAATAAACCTTTTTCCTTTCTATCACTTATAGCTATGAACAGGTAATCTTCACTTTAAATATTTAACTTTTAAATAATAGACAGATAAATAATCCCTACAACTCTCAAGATGGAAAGTTGATAATAATATAGAATTTTCTTGCCTATTGAAATTGCCTCTTTGTCTGTCACCCACATTGGACCCCTGGAAAATAGAGGCCATGTCTTTATGGCTTACCATTGTGTCTCCAGCTCTTAGCATGTACTCAATAAATATTTAATGAATGGGCAGAAGTCTTATTTGTCATGTGTTCAATAACTATTTTCAATATTAGTTCTTATATCAATAAATGATATTCTATGATAATCTTGAACCAGGCTTTTATTTACTTCATACTTTTTCCTGCTAAAATTGTACCATTTGAAAGCAAAGGAGCTTTAGATATAAGAGCATTTCCCATTTATAGACTCAATATGATGTCACATGTAATAAGTTATGTAAAATCTTAAATGCTCATTGTTAATACCATTTTCAAATTCTACAGCTTTCTTTACATGCAGATTTACCATAATGCTTTGTATGTCTAAATCAGGTATGCGAGAAAGAACTATACTGCATGGATTGGGCAGTTAAAATGATGCAAAAAGTCTGTGATGTCTTTAGCACTCCACTGGAAAGAAATAACTTCCTTCAGAGTGTGGCAAATGCATTTGCATGGGTTATAATGGAAATGATGCAGTCAATTATGTCTGGTGAGTATGCATGGAGATAGTGCATAGGTGTGAGTAAAATGCATTCTAGTCTCCACTTAAGACAGAGATAATTCCAGGTAGACTTTTATTTCTAAACTAAGAATAAAAGAAACAGACATTTTTTGTTTGTTTGTTTTCCCAAAAGATCTATTTAGTTCCTGGTTTTGTCACTTTTTAAATTTGGTATTGGTTTTAGTGGAAAACATAAAGTTGAAGAGTCTGCTCTGAAAGGAACAAATTTCAATTTTGCACAGCAGAAAGTTTTAACTTGCTCACTTACCAACTATCATAATCATCATAATAGTATCCTATATAGTTTCATCATATATTATCTTACAGTTTTATTAGGTAGCCCACATGATGATTAACCCTATTTTAGAGATAAGAAAACTAAGGCTTAGAAAAATTACCTGACTTGCCCAAGATGATAAAGTTAGAAGCAATAAAACATGGACTAACATCCTTTTCTTCTGACTTCTAACTCAGTGCTCTTATAAAATTCCATGATTTCAGTGGTTAATATCTGACTTAGTAAAGAGCACTAACTAGTCTTCTATCACACTTTATTAGGGAAAATTGGAACATCTTATGTTTCAAATAAATCATATATTTAGAAATTTAACTGTCATTTTCTTTTCCCTACTGTTCATTCCTGTGTATGGCATATAGGAGACCATGATGAAGACGACAGAAGCTTTTTGAATCTGTTCCAACTTGTGCATGCTCAGGCTAACTTCCATAAGGAGGTCCTGTATTTGACCATGAATCCTCTCTCTACCTAAATACTCTGAAAGTCTTGCATTTAGAGAATACCTCACTGAACCAACAATTAGAAGAGTGCTACTTTTTCACACCCAAAAAATAGCATCCATGGGACTTTTTGTCACCTAAGTAACCTAAGAATTCAAAAGCTGCATAGAATTTTAGAAGCAACTGCTTACACCATTATTAATATAAAAATATCAGGCAAACCCAAGAATGTATTGAGATGTTTCTGGAAAACAAGGTATGCCTCTCCAGATTTTGGTAAACCTAACACCAAACTAGATGGAACGTTAGTGTCCAAGAATCTGGGGCCAGCCAACCTGTGTGTATCTTTGAAGCAAGGGAAAATTCGGTTTTATAGTTAAAGTAGACCCAAATCCACTAAATAGTCTGTATCTGTTCTTTGCTTAGGTTGGATAGAATAGCCTAGAATGTTTTGTGAGATTTGCAATATGATGTTTTGGAATACACAGATATAAATCACATTCTTTATCACCTTCTTGGCATATGATTACAAAGAACATTATATTTTTCTCACCTTTTGCATGAACAGATCAAAAACCAAAAGAAGTATGTGTGTGTATATACATATCCATACAATATATGTATGTATATATACATACAAATACACACACTTATATTTCCTTCTTTAAGACAAATCATACAAAAAGTCTATAAATAGAAGAAGATATATATTGTCTTTATACAATCAGATCATCTTTTATTCTTTCCTGGGGATTAGATAGAGTAAAATGTTGCAAATAAGGGAGAATATAAAGTGAAAAGAAGTAGCTATTCTGGTGCCAGAACAATCTTCACAAATAATTTGCACTTCTTCCTGAAGCTTTTCTCCCTATTTTAAAGAGTGGGACTTGAAGGAAAATGGAAGCATGGATGGTTAGAGAGGCCCATGAGAGAGCGAGGTTTTTCTTCACTCAAGTAAATGGATCCCCAGAAGCTCCAGGACTATTTTCAGTCTGGCTAGCATCTGCCACCACCACTTTCACTATTAAATTAGAAAATAATAGTGCCTAATGGACTGAAATAATGCTGGAGCCTTCCTAGATCTCCCATTTTCTTCTCCTGGGGTTTGATCTCTTTACTTGTGCTGAAGACACACCCCTTCCCACTGGACTTCTCAGAGGCTGGCTTTCTTTTCCTAAACCCTTAACTCACCTCCAGAGCTGATGAAAGGAAGAAACTCTAGGATATGGGAATTACACACAGAAGTGGGCTATAAATTGTGGGAAATTCTCAAGTGTTTGGCAAGCGGGGCTCAGTAAGAGATTTAATAGGATTGAGGAAGAGTGAAAATTGTGGAGAAATTATAAATTGTGATAAGATTTTACTATATTTCAGTAGCAAAGGCACTTACCTTCATTTTTGGAGGGCCAGAAATTAACTGCATTTCTTTGATGGATTGTCCAACTATAATTCCATTGGTGGCAGGAATTTTTTCTCCAGAGTTTAGCATTTGCATATTTATGCAGAAACAAAGACCTTGCTTTTATCCTGGTTTCCTTTTCTTCTTCTTAAGAATTTACTCACAACTAAATTATAAAGATTAAAAGTTGGCAGATATCAGAGTACAAAATAACACCTTAGTTAGCTTTTGCTTTTTCCTCTCCCACTCTTTTTCCCATACATGCTTTGGAAAGCCTAATCCATTTATTTATCAAACATTTGTGATTCCAAGTTGAGAATATACCCCCATTAGATTATTTGGGGAAAAAAGAAAAATAAAGGAAAAAAGTAAATATTTCAATATAAATAGTGAATATTTTAATGTTTTACTAAATAGATGTAAAGTTTAATTTTCTTAGAGAAAGAAATTTGGCATTGTGAGGTTTCCTTGAATTCCCTGAATTGTCTAAAACTCCACAGCAGATATTTTCAGAAGTTTACAAAGAAGCATGGTTTAATTTAAAACATTTTTGATCTGGATTTTGAATCTTATTACACATTTGAACTGACATGACTGCTGCTGTAAATTTTTTTTAACTCACATTATAGTATTATTCTCAATAATTGTGAGATTATCTCACCATCCTCAGAAATTTGGAACATAAAAAAATGTGATTCATTCTTTGGTAGATAAATGATGCCATCTTGCTACCAATAAAAAGTAAACTGGGGGTGGCTAAGTGTGCGCGCTCTGCTGCGGCGGCCCGGGGTTCGCCGGTTCGGATCCCGGGTGCGCACCGACGCACCGCTTGGGAAGCCATGCTGTGGTGGTGTCCCATACAAAGTGGAGGAAGATGGGCACAGATATTAGCGCAGGGACAGTCTTCCTCAGCAAAAAAAGAGGAGGATTGGCAGATGTTAGCACAGGGCTGATCTCCTCACAAAAAAATAAATAAATAGATAAATAAATAAAAAGTAAACTGACAAATTCCTCATCAATTATTAACAGATAAAAATAACATTAGAGACCAAATTTATAGTTTCCTCAATTTGGCAGTTCAGTTTTTTGCTGAATACGTTTGTCATCAGTAAAAAACGTGATATCAAATTTTAAAGTGGGAGATTAACTTGCAAAAACATATATTATTATCATTAATATTGATGTTTAAGTGATGGTATAGGCAGTCATATTGCACAAAAAAGGAGCATTTACAAAATGAAAAGCCTGAAAACACTAGGAGATTGTTCACTTCTATCTCGGAACAGTCATAATAACAATAATGTGAACTACTAACAGGTTAGATAATTTATCCTGTACCTTTTTCTAAATTAGATTAACCTGGGCTTCTAGCTTTTTCTTTCCTTTTTTTTTAAGAAACTGATTCTCCCCTAGAACCTCTTTTTTTTTTTTTTTTCCTTTTCTGTGAGGAGGATCAGCTCTGAGCTAACATCCATGCCAATCATCCTCTTTTTGCTGAGGAAGACCGGCCCTGAGCTAACATCTATTGCCAATCCTCCCCTTTTTCTCCCCAAAGCCCCAGTAGATAGTTGCATGTCATAGTTGCACATCCTTCTAGTTGCTGTATGTGGGATGCCGCCTCAGCATGGCCGGACAAGCGGTGCGTCAGTGCATGCCCGGGATCCGAAGCCAGGCTGCCAGTATCGGAGTGGGCACACTTAATGGGCGCTAAGCCACAGGGCCGGCCCCTTTCTTTCCTTTTGATAGTGATTTCCTCAATCTCCTTTAACTTTGATTTGTAGGATGGTTTTTACTTCCACTAGAAGGCAGGCTCAACAACACATCATTATTTATCTTTACTACTGTTTCTAAACACATACACCATACCATAATAATACTAATGACAAGCTAATGACACTACTTTTCATAGAAACTAATTTTAAGTTTATATCTTGTGATAAATACTCTGTGCCTTATGAAACCATAGAACATCTATTGTTAACACTTTTTTGGACAATTCCTTCTCATGCGCTTCTGACCCCTCAACTTTATCGTATTCACAATGCAGGCAGTAAATTACGATACTTGGGAAGCAGTTCAAGCATTCAAGAAGTTCAAGCGGTTGTTTATCAGGCTGCTCTCCATAGCATGAACAATAGGCACCTTATTTCATACTTTTCCCATCCTCTGAGGACTTGGTTCATGCTTCCAGTTCTGTTAATAACAAAGATTTTATTGCCAGGATAATGACTCACCTTTGGAGATTAGAGCAAGCATGAGGTGTCCAGCAGAAGGTGCAACTGGAAGAACCATCTTATGTTAATAAAACAACAAGCATTAACCTCTTCACGTGATTATTACTTTAAAGTTAACCTCTTTGAGTGAATAGTACTCAATTATATGATTACAGATTTTTATGTCAATAAATATAGTGGGGGGTAAAAACACAAAGCTGCTACAAAAGCCTCTTTGGTTACTGGAGACCTTACTCGCATTGTGACTTCTTTACCAATCCACTAGCAGGTAGCTGTGAAACCTGTAAGAAGTCAGGCTACGGACATATGTTCCTTGGTTTATTGAGACATCACTAAGATAGGAAAGATGACTTGAAAGACAGCTGTATTGGACAGTCTTCTGTAGGTTAAAAAAAAAGTGCCCAAGGACTAAGAACACATTTTTCATCAAGAAAGCAAATATAAGCAAATATAACTCCAGAAAATTCCTCAAGTAACTAGAGATTTAAAAAAAAAAAACTTAGTTTATCTCTTGAAAGGCTTTTAAATTAAAAAATAGCAATACTTAGAACTAGACATTCTAAGATCACTGCTTTCTTAAAGGTGCAAAAAACTGAAAAATATGCATTGTTATTTTTAAAGTATTGTATTTATGGTAAAATGTCTTTTATACCTAAATATTTAATATTTGCTAAATTTTATTTAATGTGTTATTTATTCATATTAATAAAATAAAATTAAAATTAGAAACATTTCTGACTTGTTCAGAGTTTGTCATTATGCAAGTCATTGAGTGTGTAATTCCTTTAAATTATTTCTTGTGGAGGAACTTATTTTTATTTAAGCTGTTAAAGCTCTACCATGATCGAAAAACAAAATGTCTTAATATAAAATAATGTTGTAATTAGCTATATATTTATGTATATGTATATTTATGCTTAATTTTATAGTGTATAAATAAATAATTTCATCTACTAGCAAAAACTCATAAATTGAAGAGTAATCTATAAGTAGAACAGTATTCTATACTATTCTGCTCTTTATTTGGACACCAAACTCCCAAGCAATTAATATTCCAATTGCTGATAAAATAGAAATGCTACATTTACCATAGTTTAACACTAGTTTCAAAAAACAAAATATGTAATTAAGTATTGTGGATTACCTGCAATTTCCCATGACTAGAAGATCTTACAGTGTTTCTCTAAGAGCAAAGAAGTTCTTAAATATTTCTAAATGTATCTGCCTTAGCATGTTTGAGTTTATAATGGAAGTTGTGTTGATGACTTTTTCTGTTTTCCCTTTATATGTGACTTTGGCTTTATTTTTGTTTAAAATAGATGGGAGCAAAACTTAGAAGAGGCCATTCTAGGCTTAGCAAATATTTGGAGTATGATAAAACCAAAGCATGTAATTTACAAAGACAATTTTCCACTTCAACTATGCTTAAGTACATTATTAAGGGAAATTCTCTTTATTTTTGAGTAATTTAAAATTAAAATGATATGGGCCGGCCCTGTGGCTTGGTGGTTAAGTGCGCGCGCTGCGATGCTGGTGGCCCGGGTTCGGATCCCGGGTGCGCATCGAGGCACCACTTCTCCGTTCATCCTGAGGCCGAGTCCCACATACAGCAACTAGAAGGATGTGCAGCTACGACACACAACTATCCACTGGGGCTTTGGGGGGAAAAATAAAATAAATAAAATCTTTAAAATTAAAATGATACTTTTAAGGGATTCTGAAGTGTGAATAATACTAATTTTAAGCCTTTTAAAAGCAAACAAATTTTCTGAAATTTAATAAATCATATCATGCCAAGTCTCAAAGGCAGAAAGTTTGGATTTGATTCCATACAACCAGAACAATGAGTCTTAGGTGGTTCTAACTTAGTAACATTTATCTTTTCATTATTTAACTGTTTCCCAAAATATATCCTCTTTCTCCTAAAATAAAATACATCACTTTTCCACACAAACCCCTTATTTTTATCAAAAAAGTACGTATTAGTGTAATGATTCTTAGCATCATGCCACACTCATTTTTTTCTGAGTAATCCACAATTGATGTGGGCCAAGTACAATTACCATTTTATTGGACATGATTACCCTATGAGATAGATTTGTAAAATTAATACAAAACTTTATGTTACAGAAGTAACTTTTTTCAGTGTTTTATTATGTTTTAGGATGTCAATAT